GGCGGGGCTCCGGGCGGGCGGGGCCGTCGCCGAGCCCGGGGCTTGAACCAAGCAGAAACGCCGAGGTTCCCCCAGCACGTCGAGCCCAGTGAACTAGGACCTTGGTGCCTCAGGTGCATATCGTCTACTGTTTACGCCCCCTCAACACTGCGCCTCTCTTTGGTTTGTGTCCTCCCTGTGGAGTCTGAAACTGGAGGGAGCCCTCAAAGTGGAGAAGTAGGGTGCCTCTGAAGGGGTGACTGTGCTGCTTGTTTGGAATGGCCCAGAGATGTTTAAGAGGCGGATATCTGTAACAGTTAAGATGGCGATTTGAACACAAGCCTCTCATTTGCTTCCTGCCATGCTTAAACTCCAGGGAAAACCTAAACCCACAAGGGCAAGGAGATGACAGCAACATTTTGGGAGCTGGAAAGCACAAGTAGGAAGGGTCAGTGCCTGAAGCCCCAACAGTGGGGAAAGGTGAGAATCAACCCAGTTTAAGCCATAGATTCCTCAAAATGTTCCGAAACTGCAAGAGGCACGTCAGGAATTAGCGGTGAAGGGGAGACGGAGGGTAGGATGTCTGAAAAGGAGGGGAATGCGTGAAAGCTGCTTGAGAAGCTTTTAGCTCCCTAGATCCTTTCTCCAGCCTCATTATGCCTCTAGGCAGCTGCCGCTCTCACACCCAGGCTGAGGTCTGGGGATTAATTCCTTGGAGAGGTTGTCGTCTCTGGTACCTGCTTGGGTAGTATATCTAAAACGGGAAATAACCGACTTTGTGCCGGACCAAAGATACTGGCATCATGCCCCCAGATCATCCTGTAGCAAGTTCAAAGTCAGAAACACCAGGCACCCTCTCTTTATACTTTGTTAAAAGTAAAAGACTTAATCATGGACAACAAACAAGAAAATTCAGTAATATAAAAGGAAGAGACCTAAACAACAGAAAAAGGAATAGGGAGGAATTGTTTTTAAAGACCTCTCAGTAAGAAAATTGGAAGCGCAGTCTGGATGAGAAGAAATCAAAAATCAAGTAACAAAAAAATTCCGGGAATGAAGGACATGAGTTCTCAGAAGGAAATGGCAAACAATAGATCTTCAGAGCTTCCAGGGAGAAAAAAAGTGACATAGGATCAAGAATCAGAATGTGAACAGATTTCTTAAGAGCAACACCTGAAACTCAAAGACTATGAAGCAATGCATTTGAAATTCTGAAAGAATATGATTTCCACTTAAAATTCTGCCAAATTATCAATCAAGTTGTAAAGCCATGTAAAATTTCACTATATTAATCTATCATACACTCCAAATACAGTGTCCTAGGCCCTGCCCCCAGAGATTCTGATTCACAAGGCTACGGATGAGGGCCATGAATGTGAATTTAAAACAAGAGCCCCAGGTGATGGTGGTGCAGGAGGCAGTGGATTGTAATTTGAGAGACACTGCCATGGTCAGAGATTTCACAATCTCTAAAGTATAGTGTTTTGTTTTGATATCTCACCACCGTTTCAAAAGCTTTCCCAATTGCCCCAAAAGAAGGGCAATGTTTCTTATTATGAGAGCTTACATTTTTGTTTTTTTGAGCATCTACGAATAGCTTTGAATTCTCTCTCCAGAAAAGAGTATATACATATTCATGCAAATTTTGCGAAACTTTTTTTTTTTAGTTTATCTATAGACCACTAGATTGCATTTAGATATAAGGCTAAGAAGTGATTATTCACATTTACATTCCTGGAGTGACATTCATAACTATTTCTTTTACTGCCAAGGTTCACGCATGCCCCATTTTCCAAAACCTCCTCAGTTTGGCTCCTTCCCATTCTCCTTCCCCACTGCTATCTTGTCACTCCCACTGCTAACTCTACATGTAAAAGCATCACATTTTCCTGAATCAAAAATCAGGATTTCATACAAGTTGTGACATGTGATACAAGTGACAGAAAACTCCACGAGCAAAAAAGTGGGAATTTATTATTTTAAGGAATTAAACATTCATGGGTGGATCTTCAGGACCCAGACATGTTAATCACGCCATTAGTTCTCAGTCTCATTTTCCATTTCTTGGCTCTGTTTTCCTCTTGAGTTGGCTCCATTATCAGGTAGGTTTTCTCCTTGTGGTGAAAGATGGTTTCCAACACCACGAGTTTCCGGAAGTCTCCAGAGCCTCCCCTACCATTTGCAGGCCCCAGAGCAAGGTCACAAACGGAAGTCCACACTCTGAAGTCTAAATATTTTAGTTATAACTGAGCCAACAAACTATCCTCTTCCTTAAAAAATACATTTCATAATTGTAACCGTAAACTGCCTTGTTTTCTTGGTTTTTGTTTAACCATTTTGCGCAAGAAATCAGCATGGCCTCACCTATGCTTGTTTACCTAAGTCGTTTTTAATGATTAAGCTACTCCTACTCACGCTCCCCTGTTCTTTGTTCCAAGAAGAAGGTTGCGGGCAAGTAAACACGATCACTGGAGGAAGAAAATCATCTGAGACCCCTGATGCTGGATTGATTGTGTTAAGAAGGAAAGGGTGCAGGGACCCTCCTCTACAGATCATTATCAGAGCACCATTTCTTGAACAGACCCTTCTTAAAAGCTCCCCTTACCCTCCTATGGTGGGTCCACAGCCTTGCAACATTAGCTTGTTGTGACTCACTTTGCCTGGCAAAGCAGTAAGGCTGTGATTTCTGCTCCACCCAGAACTCTGCCTCTCAATTCAATTCATCTTTAGACAACAGAGGCCATGATTTTGGCAACATGATTAAACAAATAAATATCCCTATGTCTATATCAATATGAGTTTGTGTGTAAAGATGAGCATTTTATGATTGAATATCAATGAACCATTGAGATGATTACATTTAATTATTACTACAACAATGTTAATAATTTGGATTTTTTGTGTCTTTTATTATTCCATAAAATTTATTTATTTTGTTTTTATTTCAGCAAAAGTATGCTTTTATACTCAAGACTGTCATGTAATTTCTGTTGTTTTGAGAGTAATCTTAAAGATTTAAAAAATCAACTGTAATTAGTTGTGTTCAAAGCACATGAAATTTTAATACACATGTATTTTAAAAGTAGATTAAAGTCAATGTTAAAAAAAATTTTAAATTATTTTTTATATCCCAAAAGTTATTTTTATTCTAAAAGACTCAACATTTTATAATAAAATATATAGGCAAAATATAAAACATATAATGAGTGTAATTTTTTTAGAGCAGTTGTTTGTTCACAGAAAAATTGAGCAGAAAGTTCCAGTTACGCCCTGCCTGTATGCTGCACAGTGTCCTCAAATATCAACATCCTGCACCAGAGTGGTCCATTGTTACAGTCGGTGAACCTACATTGATGCATCTTTATTCCCCAAATTACATTAGAGTTTATTCTTGCTGCTGTACATTCTGTGGGTTTTGGCAATTGTATAATGACATGTACCCACCATTGCAGTATAATATAGGGTCATTTTACTACCCTAAAAATCCTCTGAGCTCTTCCCATTCATCCCCTCCTCCTCCCCAAACCCTGGCAAATACCAATCTTTTCCCTGTCTCCACTGTTTTGCTTTTACCAGAATATCATATGGTTGAAATCCTGCAGTATATAGCCTTTCAGATTGGCTTTTTCACTTAGCAGTATGCATGTAAGATTATTCATGTCTTTTCATGGCTTTATAGCTCATTTCTTTTTAGTGCTGAATAGTATACTATTTTCCAGATGTAACACACTTTATTTATCCATTTACCTACTAAAGGACATCTTGATTGCTTCCAAGTTTTGACAATTATGAATAAAGCTACCATAAACATTTTTGTTTGGGTTTTTTGTGTTGTAGCATTTTTAAACAAAGCAGAAATTTTCATTTATTTTTGGCAACTTCACTAAGTCTAGTTAAATATTTTTACTGAAATAAAACCACTCACAATTCTACCAGTCGGGCTGGGCCTACTTGTAAATCTAAGTGTAACAAGTGTCGGATTACTGATCTGAGTTCTGCTGGGCCAACTCGTAATTTAAGTTAATAAGTGTTAGTTTGCTGCTTCCCTGCTCTTTTTTTTTTTTTTTTTTTTTTTGCTAGCCAGCTGGATTTTCAGAGAGACATATCTGGCCTTGAAATGTTGGTTTGCTGCCTCCTTGTCTCGGCTTTTGTGATAATGATGCTGCTAAAGCTGTTCCATGCCTATTGGCTGAATACCCCAAGCTTGTAATTAACCCTATAAAACCTCATGCACACGTCTTGGAGGTGCTCAGAGCCTCAGAGCAGAAGCCCCCCTGAGCCTAATAAATCTGAGTACTCCAACCTTCCGAGTGGTGCTTGTTTCTTGGCTGACCTGTCATTTCTGTAACAGATTCACAGTGGCATGCCATAGAGCAAAAAATGAAAAAAATTGTTTAGAGTAGCAACACAAAATATCAAATATCTATGATAAATCTATCAAAAATGTGCAAGACCTCTACCTAGAAAAGAATAAAACATTATTAAAAGAAGTGTTAAAAGATCTAGGTAAACTAAAACTGCAGTTAGGCAAGAAAAAGACACAAAAAGCATCCGAATAAAAAGCAAGCCAAATTGTTTCTGTCAGCAAATGATGTGATCTTATATATAGAAAAGCCTAAAGACTCCACCAAAAACCACTAGAACTAATAAAAGAATTAGTAAAGTTGCAGGATATAAAATTAACATACAAAAATTAGTGGCATTTCTATACACTCACATTTTTTTTTAATTTAAATTTATTGGGCTTGATGCACTGAAGGACATTCTTTTCCAAATCTCAAAACAGGTTGTTAGAAAACCATACATTATTTAGGACAATATATTTACATTACCATATATTCAGTTAAATATGATTTGTGATCTCCCCGCAAGAAATAAAGTACGTTTAAAGGCAGTGGTCCAGTGGTCTGAACTTACGGATCATAGCTTCACGCAGAGCACTGCATTTTACTACAGAAAAACTATCAATAGTTTCTGCCAGTTCTCACACTTGTGGTCTAGACTAGTTTGCTATGAATACCAGTGGATCCTGGAAGAAAGAACATTTTGAAAGGTATTTTTTTGTCTCCTTTTTAAACAGCAATAGGCTTACAAACTCTCTTCATGACTATAAAGAAAATTGATTACCATAAAGCTCAAAACATAGTAACAATTGAGACACTAATTAAAGCACGAGTTTAAATTTATTTTAAACCTCCAAACACCAGTAATATTTGAAACCATGTAAATCCCCTTTTCAGAACCCAAATAGTGTCAAAAAAATTCTCTCAACCCAGCTTTCTCAAGAGAAGACAATGCTTTAACTAACGAGAAACAAAAATAAAGAATATATTTTTACATTGCATTGGAAAGGCTTAGTTTGAAACACTGTTTCTGAAAGGAAGCCAGATTTATTTTCTTCATCTTGAGGTCCCCTTTGTGATTCTTGGTACTGTACTACTGTTCTTTCATTCTTACAGGCTCAAAATTATGAGATAAGTTTGTTTGTTTTAACATTTCCTATCCATTACCTGCTACCATGATCATTCAAATCCTTACTCTTAGATCATAGTAATGGCCAAGTAAGACAGGGATGATTCTCAGCCCCACTCTACAGCCGACGAAACTAAGATTTATGGGGTGACTTGCCTAAGAAACAAATTATTGCAAGCAGTGAAGCCTGGATTCAACTCCTGGCTGTCTGGCCATCTGACTGCAGCAAGCTCTAGTAACTGCATCTTCTGCCTTCGAGCCTTCCAGCTGCAGCCCCCATTCCAGTCTCTTCCCCCTTCAATTCACCCAGACTAACCTTTCTAACACTGTAGACTGAAGGAAAAATGTACAATGGAAGAGATGTGGGTTTGAGTTGTATTCAGGATCTTACTGAGGACCCAGTAGACAACCATTCAGTAATTCCGAATAAATTGCCCCAAAGGCATAGGGGAGAAGCTAGCACACACATGAATTTTTGGCTAGAGAGGACGGATGGACAGTCAAAGCTTACATCGTGGTAAAAGGTTACTGCTAGTTACAAGGAACAGTCATCTCAGTTAATGATTTCAGTGCTTTTGTATGTAAGTGAAGGTGCAAAAAACTGGGTCCATTAAAATGCTTCCTGAAATATACATCTGACTACCTAAGGGGCCTGTTTTTCCAAAGCACAGAAAGCCATATCCTGTTTCTGTTCTTAATTCTCAGGGTGCTCTTGGATCTGCAGCTGCCACGGCTCAGGACTCGATCATTGTAAAGCTGGTTGGTGAGTGACCTTATTTCACAGTATCCTGCAGCCACTTGCCATTTGCTTGCCCCAGGGTGAGCCTGGACTCCTGATTCAGATTTCTCCACGGTCTGGCCTAATCTCGACTGGCCAGTATTTCCCTCCTGCCTGCCCTTCTTTCCGGCCAGATGGTCACCACTTGTCCTGCACGTGGGCCTCTGCCTAGGAGACCCCCTCTCCATTCCGGCCCCGGATTTCACTGTAGCTGGAGGCATCTTTGTTTTCTTTCCTCTTGCTGTACTCGGGCAATACCACACCATTTCAGAGACTTAAGTGATGTCTGATTGATTCATGTGTGTCAGTCCTAGGTCCTTCAAAAGGGACCCAGAGCCTCTAGGGCAGTGGTTCCCAAAGTCTGATCTCCCACCTGAAGCATCAGCATAGCCTGAGAACCAGTCAGAAATGCATATTCTTGGGCCTTACCCCAGACCCACCAAATTAAACCTCTCTCGATCTTTAGCAGGCATCAGAATCACTCGTGGGCTTGTGCAAACAAGATTGCTGGACCCACCCTTTGAGTCTCCAATTACATAGGTCCAAGGTGGGATGAGCAAATCTGCATTTCTAAAAGGTTCCCAGGTGCGATGGGCTGAAAGTTTGTGTTCCTGCAATTTCATAGGTTGACTCCTAAGGTGGTTGTTTTCAAAGCTTGGAGTGTGTTATCCCTTATTTTGAACAAAGACACGCTCCTTGAAAGTAATTGGGCTTTTACCTGATATAAGATCAAACCTTAAGAAGATAGCTTATAGTTTATGGTTGTCCTTTACCAGGCAACAAAAGTATTTTACCACATTATGTTATACTGGTTTTGTTTCAAAACCAATTTTAAAGTTTTTTTTTCTTTTTTTATTGAAGTATAGTCAGTTTACAATGTCGTGTCAATTTCTGGTATACAGCATCATGCTTCAGTCATACATATACATACGTATATTCCTTTTCATATTCTTTTTCATTATAGTTACTAAAAGATATTAAATATGGTTCCCTGTGCTATACAGTCTAAACTTGCTGTTTATTCGGTTTTGTGAGAATTTTCCTCGCAGTTCCGATTGTAAGACATATTCTGCCCAAGTTCAGTAGGTGTTCTGTGACAGCTGTTCCGTGTGTAGATGTAGTTTTTGACGTATTCACGGGAGAGGGTGAGCACCGCGTCTTTCTACATCCTGGCAATCCTCTGAAATTATTTTTAATACTTGAAAACTCTGTATAAAATAATTGATCCAATCTTGGCTTATAGCTGTTTTTTTTCCCCCTCATACTTCTTTCCAGAGCAAGAAACAAAGTACCATGAGTTGTTCTGGCGTGAATAAGAACTGGTCAGCAGTGGCATTAATTTACATTCCTTACATCCCATCTCTGTTGCCTGGGTGATCCTCGCCAGAGCTTGCTTTCTTCATCAATGGAAGATGTGTTCCTTTCAGAATTAGAATTCACTTGAGGAATAAAGCCTACCTTATATTTGAGGGACAATTTGAATTTTAATTGAAAGGTCTCTGGTAGAATCTTTGAACTAAGGAAAATAAACCAATAAGTATAATATCTTTCAATAAAATAGAACTCTATACTACTGTACTTTTAGGTGGAGAAGCAGAGCCCAAGGTATCACAGATCAAGTAAAATTTAAAATAGTGTCCAGTCTATACTCAAAAATGAAGCCTCATTAAATGCCATCTAACAAAAACTAAAGTGGGATGTAACAGGAAACAAAATGATCATTTGAAGAATTCTGGAGGCAAGCAGACTCACTTTGGAAAGCGTAGGGATGGGGCCAAAAAAAGCGATGGAGTCATATACAGAATGATTAGCTTCATTTAGCCCAGGTTTATTTGACAACATTCAGCTGATCATCTTCAGAAGGTTTGCCTTACCAAAGAGTGATTATTAACAGAATTATACGAAGGAAGTAGGGCCCATTTAAATTACATAGCAAGTGAATAATAGCCAAATGACCTCTTTGGTATGGATTTTTTAAATGACACTTTCAATCATTAATAATACTATTTGTGATCATTTTTGCTATTAATGATACAGTTATCATTAATAGCAGCAGTATTGTTTTTAACGGCCATGCTGCTGTTTACAAAACACTTTATTGTAAGTATATTTATCTCATTAAAACGTTTCCAGTGAATAATCATAGACTCAGATCATTGTATCTAGTATATTCCAAATAGATTTTTGGAGCCCAGACCTTGAGTCTGGTGGCATGATTACTACCAACTGTATTCCTTGCCTTTGTGAAGATGCCAAAGAATTTCCTTTTCTCCTGGCTCTTACTGCAGCCAAGGATGCTTCTGCTACACAGCGGGACCCACTGGCCTTGGGGAACTGACACTGACTATTGAAGCTGAGCTTCCATCTCTTCCTTCTTGTTCCATCCAGTGTCTGTGAGTCGTGTCTTTCTTGGCGACCCCAACACCTGCAGACCATGCAGTGGGTCGACATCTGGGATCAGCTGCTCCTGGTGGGAGGCACTGTCCTCCTCTGCTATCCCCCGTGCAGGAGACTCCGCCCCGGTGGTGGTAACAGGTGCCACTTTCTCAACAATAAGTAACTCTGAGTTAATTATCTCCAGTCTCAAAGGGCTACTCTTAACCATTATCCTGTTTCCTTCCCACCCTTCTTCAAAATACAGTTGCTTCTCGTTA